ACTTGTGTTAAACAGCCTGTTGGTCGACATCAGCCTGCATTCTACTGCTGAAGAGGCAAAAGCTGCTTAAAACAAATTCCAAATCTGTCATGTGACTTTACTTCGCAGACGGTTCAGATTGCTTGTGGGCTACTGATCCCCGCAGAGACCCAACACTGCATGTGTTGCATTGATACACCACCAGTCAGTCAGTCAGTCAGTCACACGTCAATAAACACATTTTACAAATTAAAAAATCAGCACCCACATGCATTCAACAAGTTCTCGCGGCCCCTACTGCTAATCTCTCACAGAGTCAAACCAGCACAACAAAGCGCAGCGTGTTTCCTTTGAGCTGTCACGGCTGGTTTTATCACATCACACAGATCTGAGTGTCTCCTCCACACCGCCGTTGTTTCACACTCGCAGCGGGAAAGCCTGTGTTTTCCTCAGATACCATAATTGTGGCATTGTCTGTCAGACGAGCCAGAACTGTCCCCGGCTGAGTGTCAATCGGATCCCAGCAGGTGCTAATATATTCTGCCAAAAAGGAAAGAGGATAAACAGTACGTAGATTCTCTTCACTGCTGGCGATTTGAGTGTTTAATAAGTATTTGTTCACAGACGTATAACTCCCAGCGACTAAGAGTTTTCTATTGATGTTGAAGGGGCTGTTATTGTAAAAACTCTTCAAAAAGAACTTTGGCTTTACATCTTTATAGCAATATTTGGTTAAAATTGGCTAAAAAATAACATTTAAAATTCTAATTTGAAAGAAAGAATGTAGTATTTCTGCTTTAAAGCACAAATCCAACCACGTGTTAAAGCAAAAAAAGTTGTTTCTTCTGAGGCTTCATGACTTCACTTCAAGAACGTATAAAGACACGACAGACTGGAGGAAAACAACAGGAACAGTGACTGTGCTGAGACAAAGTAGGAAATCTCGCACATTGCTGACTACATGACAGTAATGGGAAACAATAGGTCATACTTGGGCTCATCTCTGATGGACATGAGTCTGCCTACAGGAGGGAGGCAGAGCTGCTGGTGTCCTGGTGCAGGCTGAGCAACCTGCAGCTCAACGCTCTACAGACAGTGGAGATGATTGTAGACTAAAGCCCCACTCCCCCCCATCACCCTGAGAGACTGCCCAGTGGACCCTGTGGAGTCCTTCTGCTTCCTGGGCACCATCATCACCCAGGACCTCAAGTGGGAGCTGAACATCAGCTCTCTCATCAGAGGATGTTCTTCCTGTGGCTGCCAACGGAGGTGATGGTGCACTTCTACATCTCCACCATCAAGTCCATCCTCACCTCCTCCATCACCATCTGGTACACTGCAGCGACGGCCAAGGACGAGGCCAGGCTGCAGCGTATCATCCGGTTGGCCGAGAAGGTGATTGGCTGCAATCTGCCTCCAGGACTCTGAGGCGTGCAGGTCAGATTGTGGCCGACCCCTCCCACCCTGGACACAAACTCTCTCAATCAGTCCCCTCTGACAGGAGGCTTCAGTCCATCAGAACCAGAACCTCACGCCACAAAAACAGTTTCTTTCCATCTGCCACCAGCCTCATGAACAATGCCCAGGACCCCCACTGACCCTCCTGCCCTCCTCTATATCTGTATAAATGTAAATAACAATATATCTGCACCCTCAGTACTTCTGTAAATAACAACATCGTTCTATGGTTCTTATTTAAATTTAACTTTGATTCTTTGCACTATTCAGTTATTTTTATTTTCAGTCACTTTATTTTACTGTGTATTTATTGTTTACTTTATATTTATTGTTGTTTTGTTGCACCAACCCACCAGAACAAATTCCTCGTATTGTTTGAACTACACCTGGCAATAAACCTGATTCTGATTCTGATACCTGAAAAGTTGGAGAATAATTTTCTAAGACTGGGGAAGTATAATTCATTAACCACTACAGTTATAAATCACTTCATTAACTCTTAGGATCAGCGGTTTACCTCAAACCTTCCCTTCTGCTTAGTGTCACAAACCACCAGCTAAAATCATCACCAAGTGACTGACGAGGTTTCTACACTCGGCTCTACGCTGCTGCTGCTGCTCCATGTGATGTCGTGTTTGTAGCTCCAACTGCAGGATTTAATTGCGTTCAACTGTAACTTGGCTTTAAAGCGCTGAGAGAAATCTCACTGGGTCACATCAGTCATCACTTCAAACGCTGTTACTGAAGATCAGCGGGGCAGAAAACTGCAGGTCTGTCAAGTCACTACATCAAAACACAAGGAAGTAGAGCTTTAATCGTCAGTAACAGGAAGAGCTGAGCCGATCAACACCAGCTTCAACAGGAGGACCGTTTGCTCCAAAGCTAATGTTTCAGAAATGGATTAATTAAATACAGACAATACATAATTAATACCACATTTTAGGTTTCATTTCATTCTATGTAAAAAAATTCTGAATTTTAGGCTTTGTAAGAAATGATTCGCTCAGATGTAGAACTGGTTGGTACGTGTAAAAAGGCTTTGCATCAACCGGATGTTAAAAAAAATAAAATAAAATTCAACAACAGAAATCTACAATAGCATTCAAATGTGATCTGCATTTTAAGATTTAAGAAGTAGCTACAGCCAGTATTGTTATCACACATTATCACACACAAACTGTATGCGATTAAACTACAGAAAGTTACCGGCTGAATCTGCAGCTTCACTCAGCTTTACGTGGAGTTATCGTGGGTTTTAGCTTATTGCCTAGTTGACGAGCCACAACGTAGTTGCGCTTGACTGCCATCGCTCTTATAGATTAGTTTTGTTCCAAAAAAAGAAAAAGATAAAACACTGTAGAGCAGCTGGACAGAGCTGATGACCAGCTGGTGAACACAGTGGAGCATCCAGCAGCTCAAGAGTCAAGTATTTCCTTCAGGAGTTGAATGCTGGACTCATTTTCATATGTCAGTGATGCTCCCAAATAGCAAATATATACATATGTGAACAGCTTTGCAGTTATTGTTCTACAAACTTTTTTTTTTTCTAAATACTGTCATTAAAAGAATATTTTTTAAAAAACATTGATTGGAAACTGCCTGGATTTTGTTGCCCAGTGCAGGTAAAAGTTGTTAGTGCTGGAAGAAGACACACATTACAGAGGTTTTGGGTGATTTTAGCTGTTGTCTGAGAAAAGTACAACTCGGTAAACTTCCGGTGGTAAAAGAGAAGAAAAAGACGTGAAAGAAAATGTGTGTGGATTTTGTTCCAGTATTAATCCCAAAAAAACTCCACCTAATTTTTAGATGGATAAATTAACTTTTGTTATTCACTGCGAAGGGAAACACAACCAGTATGACAAAGAAATAGATACTGTCATCGTCATTTGCTCCTTCCTTCCTCCTCTGAAGATATTTTCATTTTGAACTCCTCTGCTTTCCGGCAGATCTGTCGGACATCCATCCATCATCTATACACCACTTCATCCTCACTAGGACCACACTTAGAGACAGACAACCAAGCACACTCACATTCACACCTACAGACAATTTAGAATCACCAATTAACCTCAACATGTTTTTGGACCTTGTGGGAGGAAGCCGGAGAACCCAGAGAGAACCCACGCTGCACGGGGAGAACGTGGAGACTCCAGCTGTCTGACGTTTGAAGAAAATATATTATTACTGTGTTTAAAAGACTCGATCTACCTCAGCTATAAAACTGAAATAACTGAAGTTTTTACAATTCAGTAGAAAAATAAGCCTTTCTTAGAACAACTGTTTGGCTCCTCTAACATTGTGTTTCATCAGCTATTAATCAGAATCAATACGTTTCTTTAAAAGTGCTTTGATAGGTTCAGGATCCTGTGATTGAACTGAAGTATAAACACATCAGTCAAACAGGTGAACAGATAGTGAGAGAAAATAGGTAACCCAAGACTTTCTGTTTGTAATGTGTGTGTGCTTTGGCCCATTGGTCAACAGTGTCTTTGCAGCGGTGAGGAGTGAACATCAGTCCAGGTGTTTGCCACAGACCCATCTGAGCTGAGGTTGGTCTCTGAGGTCTGTCGGCTCCGACGTGGAGAACCAGCTGCACTGGCAGGCGTACGCTCGCAAACTTCTCCTCTTCTTCAGCTTGCTCCGGAGCTTCTCGTGGTCCGGCATGTTGTTCCTGTTCACAGAGAAATGATGTAATGAAAGTTAATTCATCATCAAAGATTTAGTTTTCTCAGCTGCTGCCCTGTAGACGGCTATTCAGCGCTCCTACTGTGCAGCTGCATATTCATTTTCCACTTAAATTTCAATGAGAGATAAATTTAATAATGTGTGCTGAGTTAATTAATATCAGCTGTAAGGAGAAATGTCGGCAGACATGAAAGAGATGAAAAAAAAGAGGATTCTTGTCCTGAAAATACCTCTTAGCTACGAACAGATGCACCCATTAAGAAGTTTTATTATGTTAGAAATTACAAATCGTCCTTTAAAGCTGTATTAACAACTATTTATTGACTATTACAGACCTGCAAAGATCAATTTATCTACTGACTCATTTTGCAAGAAATTGTTCTGGTAATAGAAGTCAGAGAACAATAAACTATCCACCACAACTTTCAAGGTATCACGGTGACGTCGTCATCTGTCTAAAACTAAAAGACATTGAGTTTATACAGGGCAAAAGACTGGCAAAATTTGAAAATGTCTGGTATTTTGCATTAAAAATCACCAGAATTATCAAAATAGTTTGTCAGATAGTAGTGTTTTTTAGCCTCTTTTAGCTCCTAATTTCGGTTTTGCAGCACATTTACTCAAACTATCAAATATGAAATAATAAAAAAAACCCTCTGATCTATCTGTGCTACCTTCCCATCCATCAGCAGAACTGGCAGCTGAACGAACATATAAATGGACATATCCAGAAAGTGAATGCTGGTGCAAGGCAAATGAGCAAACTATCCGACATTAAGGATAAGTGCACTTAACATGGATTTCTTTTCTCCTGGCCTTGTGCCGTTTGAGTGTGTTTTGTCTGCAGAAATTAAAAGCATGTCGAGCAAGTCGGCCCACAATTTATTACTTAGAAAGGTTTAAAAGGCCCCTTTCTTTGGGAGAAAAGCTGCATTTTAATTAAAGTCATCACTGCAACATCACCAGCAATTATGCAAACAATTAATTAATCAATTAATTAATCCACATTCAATATGTAATTATTTTTATGCACGACACACAAACCCATTTGTGTTGAATTTACAAGCGACAACAAATGTACTTCTGGATGGCTAATGCTTTCGTGTAAGCCTCTTAATTAAAATAAATAAAAAAAATAACACAATACAACAAAGACATGGGCAGTAATGGATGTACACTTTCCATTCAGACCTGGGAAACATTAAGACGGCGTGAAAAGAAAAGCGTCTGTTTGAGGAGAGAATACTCGGACGCCTGAGAAGGTGACGGGGAACACAAACCGCAATGTTCTTTAATGAAGAAACTATGGATGAGCTGCCACAACAACTATTCAGATAGAAATAATCACAGTTAAATGTGGGAAATTGGTAGCAAATAAATGTCAATGTCATTCACCAGAGAACAAGACGTGTGATTTGATATGGAAAAAAAGAAATCACATATTTCAACCATCTTCTATGATTACACTTTCTGTACCTTGAAGGTCGAAGCTCTACTGCTGAAGGACTGAAGCTTGAAGATGATAACGCTGGCGTGATAACATGAAGGGCAAACTCATCATCCTAAGTGCTCCGAGTGTTTCAAAGTGCTCTGAACTTAGCAAAGCCACACGATAAGCAAAGTGCACACGTGGAAAGTTCTGACTACTAAAATGTCACTTGTCTGAACATGTATGTTTTATGCTGGTGTGTCAAAAGTTGACTCGTGGACAGGGTTTTTATTAACTTGTAATGTTTTTTTTTTTGACATTTTTTCATTTTCTTGATTTCTAACTAAATAATCCTCGCCCATCACATCTAATAAAATCAGCTGCACAGTCCCCATATCCATAATAAACACTTCAGAAGCTGAGAGGCACATTTCTAATAGAATTTAATTTTGTCATAACCTGGCTCGTGGGTTATAACAAATATGGCAAGGAACACATTTAAATGGTACCGATTTGGCGTTTTGTTTTGCTTTCTCCTCCCATTGGGTCAACAAAATACAATAAAACAGGTGAATAAAACAATAAAACTTCCTTCAGACAGATTAAAACTGACAAAATTGTCTTAATTGAAAGCCCAAAGTCAGCTCTCAGTTGTGGGTCCTGTGCTCCACCAGGTGAGCTAACCTGGTTGCTTTTATATTTAGGTTAACAAAGACGTTTGTGTTAAAAGAGTCCATGTTATAATAAAACTGAGTGGGTGAGTCATAATCAGATAAAAAGTTAAAACAATCTACTTTATTTGAACTGCTGTGTGCGTGTGAATTAATTCTCTTTTTCCATGTGTTATAACCAAAAGCAAACTATTAAACAATTAATAATAAGTATGGTGTGTTACTATCAGGAGTGTAGGTGTGAATGAGTGAACATGACGGGATGTAAGAGCAGAAACAAAGCAGAAAGGAAACAGAGAAAAACGTGTCATCACCACCAACGAAGCCGGGTCAGAATGAATGAGAGAGACAGCAAGAGAGGGACGGCTGAGATTCATGGGCCGTCCTGATGCCTTCAGGGACCCACAGGTAAACGGAATTCTAGGCCTCCGTGGCAGCAGCTGCCACTGGGCCGTCACAACTGGAACACTGTGTAGGTGGATGGTATGTATTGAAGTGACGACCACATTAATGCCAGGACCCGAGGTTTCCCAGCAGAGAATTGCATCGGGACAAAATGATTTGTATCAGTCACTTCAGTTTTAATATTGTGGCTGATCGATGTACGTGTATACGCACCAGAAACATGAGAGAGAGAAAAAAATGTCTGGGTTACTTTGATTTGCTTTGTGATATGTGTTTTTAAAACTAGACCAAAGTCAAGACAGCTGCACTCACACAATGTGAGATGCTGCTAAAAAGAAATGAGGGAAGTATATGTGTGGACTTATTCTGACACCTCTGTTCCTCAACATAGCAAAGAGTAAGTTCACATTTATATGTTAACATAAGTCCTGTTAGTAATAGCAGGACCAACACTATTTCGCTGATCTGCCGTCGCACAACATCACCACATGTGTTCAGCACTGCAAATAAAGCTTCACCTTGGAAGGCATTTTCCACAAGGTCCATTTTCAGCGGCCTGAAACTGCGTATAAATGAAAGGCCAAAAACACTACATTTGAAAAAATACCCATGTAGGTGTGGACGGCGTCTTAACCTGACAGAAAGTTTACAACAAAACCAAGACAAGGAGGTGAAACCTGCAGGAAAAGAGGCCCAAGACGGCGGCAGAGTTGGTGATAAAAGTGTCTGTGATGCGTTTCACATTACAAACTGAGTCAAAGAGTTATTATCAAAAAAAAAAAAAGATTTCTCCAGCATTGCAGTTTTACAAATCATTTCTAATTGCATCATTAAAATGCACATCTGTATATTCTTCATTCATGTGTTTCTAAATGTATAAATAATCACGGGCTTAACATCTCCTCACTGCATTGTGATGCTAGGCGTCACACGGTGAAGTATCAGCAGATGTGTTGACAAGCAGGAGGCGAACAACCCCTCAGAGGAAGATAAAAGATAAAATCCAGCCTCAGTGTTCTGTCAAACTCTCAGAACGCCTGCACACACCTCAATCACCTGAGCGTTCCTGTGTTTCCCACTGTGGCCTGTCAGGCGCTGTTACTGTAACAGATGACATCGTGTCACCAGGAATTAGTCTTTGTCGTTCCTGCGCTGTGTGAGAACATGAGGTCGTTATCACTGGAACCTTAAGACAAAGTCAAGGTCATTATGTCCCCATTAGGATGTCATCTCTCTGACTTTATAATACATTAGTAATCAAATTACTCCTAATGAGTGCAAGGCTGCAAACTGATCAAACTAACACAGGATCAAGCATCACAAACCATCAGGAACTGCATGTGGGCATCAAAAAAGCTTGAATAATTCTTCACCTACCAGAGTGTTTTGGGGAAAATCAAGTTTACACCCAGAAAGTAAGGCGTTAAAACTTGGCAAAAGTACAAAAACTGAGGTATTATTAATCTGTATGGGTTAAATAACCAAACTGCTTATTTTTATCTGGAAGGATTTTGGCGTCTTTACATACCAGCATGGACTAACTCATTTAATTCAAACAACAAATGTATTAAAACAGTTTTTAAATGTGTATATTCAATAATGTGATTAATTCAACACAAAAGCTATGTAGTTCTGATCCATTTCCTTTGTTCTCATAACCTTCCACAGTCGTCTCGCCCCATCGTGCTGCACAGGAGGTAAAGTGTTTTGTTTTTAACTTGGAATAATAAAAAGGATGAACTGGCTCATTAACGCAAAAGACGTGACTGAAAAATCTAAAACAGATGTTTATATAGTTTTGCACAGCCTGACTGTAACTTCATATCATTCTGCTAAAGGGGTAAAACGCCTCGGATATGAGTAATTCTTTAAACCAATCACAGTTGTATTATGCAGAGCGAAGCATAAGACGCATCAAGGGTGTTTCCTCAAAATATGGGAATTGTTTTACTGGTGCAGAGAGGACACAATGTTGAACTCATAGGGCTGCTGCTTGGAGGTTGGTGTTTTCTGTAGCAAAGGGGATTTTAAAAGCTGTTGTATGTCCGTAGCAGAAGGGTCAGAGAGAGCCACAGGAAACGCAATAACAAGATTAAACCCACAGTTTACATCCAATTAGTCAAAGTGTAGAAATGTGAAGGTGTGGAGTCGTGACTTTTCTGCTTGTTTATACTCGAGTCACACTGATCTGCATTGGAGGAAACAGTCTCTGCTGTTATGGATTGTCAGGAATGTGGGTGGCCTCATGAGATTTATACATTATTTACAATTTGTTCTGAGCTACTTTACTATTAAATATCACAGGACTACAGATTTCTACACTTGCTGTGGATGTGGTGGTTCAGTGGAAACCTGTCCGCTGGTGTGAGCTCAACCAGTAAGACAAAGGAGATGATGACTGACTTCAGGAGGAAGACATCACACACCACACCAGTGAACATTCAGGGTTTGGACATTGAGGCAGTAGAGAGCTACAAATTCCTGGGTGTTCACATAAACAATAATCTGGACTGGACAGACAACAGCCACGCCCTGTACAAGAAGGGCCAGAGTCACCTCCACCTGCTGAGGAGACTGAGGTCCTTCGAAGTGTGCAGGACTCTTCTCAGAACTTTTTATGACTCTGTGGTGGCTTCTGCTATATTCTACACTGTGGTCTGCTGGAGCGGAGGCAGGAGGGACAGGAAGAGGCTCAAAAAGCTCATCAGGAGAGCTGGACTCCATAGAGGAGGTGGGTGAGAGGAGGGTGTTTGCCAAGCTGACATCCATCATGGACAACACCTTCCACGACACTGTGGGGTCTCTGAGCAGCTCCTTCAGCAGCAGACTGATCCACCCACGGTGTAAGACGGAGCGCTACCACAGCTCCTTCATCTCAACCGCTGTCAGAATCTACAACATGTTGTAGTTCTTCCCTCCATACTGCATCTTGAATAATATAGAATATTATACCCAGGTTTTTCTCATGTGCAACAACCCCCCCCCCGACTGTGTGCCATTTATCTCCCTTATGTGCAATAATTATTATATTGTACCATATTTCATTCTATTTTATTTATCTTTTATATTTTTTAAGCTCATTGTGTCCATTATATGGATCTTTAGTGTCGACTGCATTACATTTCGCAGCTCTTCCTATTCATAGTTTATTTGTTCTCTTTCTTCCTGTCACGTTTTTGTGCTTTAATCTTTTGTGTTCTGTAACCATACTGCTGCAACAAGTGAGTTTCCCCATTTGTGGTGAAAACTAAAGTGCAATCTAATCAAATCTAAAAGTGTGAAGAAGAGTGTCAGCAATAGCTGAATACTGCCATCTTCTGGTCAAACCACAAACCATCATCTAAAACCAATATTGTATTTTCCTCCAGTACCAGTTTCTCCTGACTACATAGAAATAAATCATGAGTCATTTGCTGTTGTGTTCCACTGAAGACGGAGGTACTGAGAGATTAAGAGGTTTCGGTAAAATGACACATAATGTTTTTACAGATGGTTTGCACAATTACTGACTTCATTGTATTTTCTGTTTCGAAACTCAGTAGACTTTTTTTTTTTTCAGTAAATTGCAACAAAAAGTCCTGTCTCCTCAGCGGCAGTCAGCAAAGCCAGAGGGCAGAGAGTCATTAACTTAATTAGGTGAGCATCAGCCAACAAAAATTCCTATGGAACTTCACAGTGACTTGCTAAATACATACACATTTGCCACTGAAGGTAATGGTTAATTTTTTAAACTGTTCTCAAATCGTAGCCTTTTTTTTCTTGATTTTACTTCCTCAGAACAAAACAAGAATTAATCTGTTCTAGTTGAAGTGGTACCAGCTGATAAACATATGATCGGTGAAAACACACATGTTTTGTATTTTCTGTGTTATTCTTCAGTGAGAGCGACGCTATAGCAAGGCTTCAGACTCACCTGAGGAACAGGTAATCACAGGACGAGTCCCACTCACAATCATCAAACATCAGCACCCGGAAGTCGCAGGATATACACCTTAGCTGGTCACATGACCTAATGATACATACAGCCAGTCAGTTATTACACAGGGAATTGTCCAGGCAACAGGTGAAGTTCAGCAGCAGTATTCAATCACTGCTCATTAATGTTTTTAAAGTGGTACGATTATTTAGACAAATTCTCAGGAATATTAAAGCTCTACATCAAAAACAGGAGACATGATGAACACGCTTGGTATCAAATTATTTTTCTCACACCTCTTGGATGTGGCTGTTCCGACACCATTTGTGACTGAGCTCCCGCCAACATAAACAGGACAGCACCTGGACAAAGAAGACACAGTCAGATCGTCTTCAAGCACGAAGTAGTGTCAGAAAATCAAATGAACAAAAAATTATTAGAAATATACAACCAAGCTTCAATTTATCTATGTTTTGTTTAGAAACACACAACTTTTTTTGGTTGTTAAGGTTCAACAATGTGACACAAAACACTTCGAAAATAAGTTACTGACTTTTATTTGGCAGCTAACTATCCAATCCTTTAGAAACTGATTATGTGAACATCTTAATCATTTGGCTGAACATACCCTAAAGTATGGACTTGTTTTAAATTCTTGAATTGGCTGAACATCCATTTATCCATTATCTATACACCGCTTAATCCTCACTAGGGTCATGAGGGGCTGGAGTCTATCCCAGCTGACTCAGGGTGAAGGCAGGGGACACCCTGGACAGGTCACCAGTCTATCACAGGGCTACACTTAGAGACAGACAACCAAGCACACTCACATTCACACCTACGGACAATTTAGAATCACCAATTAACCTCAATATGTTTTTGGACTGTGTGGGAGGAAGCTGGAGAGAACCCACACTACACGGGGAGAACATGGAGACTCCACGAGAAAGATCCCAGGACGCGAACCAGCGACCTTCTTGCTGCGAGGCAACAGTGCTAACCAACTGCGCCACCTTGCAGCCCTGACTGAACATATCTTATGAAAAGCTTTCTAAATGGCTGAGTGACTTTTCTCCCACTGCTTAAACCTTGTTATTATTACACAGCTGCATGCACAAATTCAGAATGAACTGAATGATTTACTTTCTTCCTGCAGACTGGGATGATAACTTCTTCTCCACTTGTGTTCCTTTAGGACATAGTTTAGTCTGAAACGAAAGGTAAAAAGCAAATTACATGGCAACATATATGTTTTAGAATTAAAATGTAACTAATTAAAACTAGAATTATACTACCTGTTCCTCATCAAACCTCGTGTGTGTATTGTCACTAACCTAATGCAACATTCATGAGGATTTAGTCCCATTTACAGGTGTCTGTGTATGGTTTTAACTGGTTATTCAAAATGCAGGTAAAGACAGAAATGAAACAGCTGCATGATCACAATCTCTGGTTGCTGAAACCTGATTATTATACACATAACTATCCAACACGTGTAACTGTTTTGCATTAGTTTTGCAGATCAACGGCACCAAGTTACCCTCATTCACAGGACCAGAGTAACTGATGTGCTATTTGTAGGATCCTAAACAGAATTTTTAAAATGCAATTTCGTGAAAAAAATGTTTTCTGGTCACTTGGAGCCAAGTCCTAAAGGAAGTATATGGTTCTCTTAATGTTTTAGTGTGTTTACTAGCAAGTTACTTAATTTCCCTGTCTACCAGTTTGCAACTCAGGTGGGTTCTGCCTAGCTATTGCAGAGGTGACAGAGAATCAAATCAGTAGGGGAACCGCACAGTCAGGTGATAATTCTCTGTTGTGGTTTCACGTATTCCATACAGCATAACTCATGAAACAATGCTGAATGGTTAGAGCTGAAACTTGGCAGTAATCATACTAGTCACAACAGATATAAAAGTAACCACAATTATTATTACTTAAGTAAAGTTTATTACTTCATTCTACTTTGCTTTATGGTATGGCTTTATATTTTTTTTTCTCCCAGTTCTGAGGCAGGATGCAAGTCACAGGTGCAACTTCACCTTTGATTGAGGGGAATCGCCGTAGTCTTCCTCCCGTAACTCTTCCAGAAGGGCATCGATATCCTCCGCGACGCTACTTATCGACTGTTTGGGTTTTGTGGCACTAAGTCGAAAGGAAAACATGAATTATTGTCTGTGCATCTGAATGTTTTAGAAACATTGGTGGAGTTTTCATTCATCAAGTTACACCTTAGACAGGCTTGATGTTTTATAGGCCAATCCTAGCATTGATAAACTCTGAATTATTTAAAAAATAAAATGTTTTTCTACCATTGAAACCTTGTAGATTTTAAATATTGCAGCACTTAGAGCTTTATGGGGGTGCAAGGTATGTATATCTGTATACAACATTTTTAATGCCTGGTTATTTTTCCTGAGGGGGGTAAAGGAAAGCACTGAGTGAACTTGTCAGGGCCTTTGTAATTCAGAAATTCTGGCTACAGCTCTTGTTTGGTGGATTAGATCTGATTTCATTCACTTACAAATACTTAGACATAACACACAGCTGAGAGGCTGTTACGTCGCAGAAATACATCAATGTATCCTTAAAACTATATGTGGCAATTAAGTAATAAATATTAATTTCCCTATATAGCTACAGCTACCAAAGTCTAAACAGATATATGGCTAAACTTTAGTATTGGCTTAACATACTTCCAGCAAATAGGGATACTGCTATTCCTAACACCTGCTAACTTTACTTACATTGTGCATCTTTAGTTAGCTTGTAAAAAATTAAAATTCGGACCTTTACACCGTTTAAGGCCGAGAGTACACAGTTCATTATTAGCTCGTTATCAGGGCTTGGAGTAATGTTTAGCGCTGGCTTATAGCTGACATCTGCTAGCCTAACTAGCTCAGTCTACCTGTGTTTTCTCTGCCCGTCTTTCTCTCTTCCGCATTTCCCAGCCTCACTCGGAGCCGAACACGCCACGGAAACGTTGCGACAAAACTTTTTTTCAACTTCATCCAGCAGTTCGTCCAAATCATCATCGGCCATGATAAACTGCTCCTATTTGGCCCCCAGCTAGCTTGGCGGCTAACTAACGCATAAGCTAGCTACCGACATGCTCACAGCGTTCGCCGTTGCTATGTAACGGACCCAATCGGTAGAGGAAGTGACCGTGACTTCAAAATAAGGGCTGAAATAGAATTCAGCTCTGCCAACATTTCTCCGGCTATGATGCAGTTTGTCAAAGTTTTGTCTTTAGCTTATTTTCCCCTCTTCTGGAGCTTTTAGGACACAGCTAAAGATCTCTTCACAGCAGACTTTTTGACTTGTCATTAGCAGGAAATACACAGGTGTATTCAATCACCATAATGATGGCTGCTCTCCTCTTAGGGAATGTTAAGGCATTATGCACGCTGGTTCTTAATGGAGGAGTTTACTAGACACTTAATGGAACTCAGCCATCATTCAGGCTCTTTAAAAGACCCATGATACTCCCTTAAAACAAGTTAATGCAAGTCACACATGTCCCCAGAGTGTGTATTGTCAGTTTCAGCTCAACAGACTGCTATTTCTACCATAAAAACCCTAGTTTTAGCCCTGTTCACATCCATTTCGGCTCTTGTGTCTTTAACTTTATCTAATTTTACTGATTGTGCATCCTTAATTCCTTTCCTTGACTCCTCCTCCTAAGAAGTGAGGGAAGGAGTTGAGGAGCAGGCATTAAACGAAATGAGATATAGTTGACTTAAAGCCTTTATTTTAAAGTGACCTCTATGACATGTGGCACAGCTGTATCACCTGTCCATTGTTTTGTTTTTTTTACAACCTATCACTGTATTTTATGATCTCTGTCAGATGAATAGTGTTCATGATAGCTCACAGTATGCATTTACTTAGAATTCAGTTCAAACTGAATCAAAACTCAAATGCACAGATGCCATAGATTTTTATTTTCTTGTGAACACACACAGGTGCGGTGAAGCATAACAGATGTGTGACACAAAAACCAGCAAATACAAAAATGAGCTGCAAATGTTGAAACCACCAGGAAATACAAAAACAGGCCACAAATACAGAAAACACATCCACGTTTCCAGGGGCCATTTAAGGAGCTTGTTCCTATATTTGCTTGCTTTGCTGTATTTGCAGCATTTTGAAAATACCCTGCCATGTGAACATTTTTTTGCTCTTGCTTGTCAATTTGCATATGTTTTCTTTAAATGTAGTGTACTGAGGTCTTTACATCTTGCATGACGGAGGCGTTACTTTTATCTTTCAGGCTCATGGAATTTATTTTGAAAATGAGACAGGATGTGGTGTTCAGTTTCACTTCACTTTAACACAACACCGCATTTAACCTGTATTGAAACCCACCCGCACTCACGTATAGGCTTTAATTAGATTTGTGAAAAGTGACGGTCTGACGTGTGGAAACATGCAAAAGGTTGACGTTGTCGGCAGGATTCGAACCTGCGCGGGGAGACCCCAATGGATTTCTAGTCCATCGCCTTAACCACTCGGCCACGACAACCGGATGACAATGAAGGCATCAAAATAAGATTTTGTTCCAGCTAGACCCAAATCCAAATTATAGATGCATATCAATTCATTTTGTTTCTAACACAGCTCGTGTTGCTGAGAACTGATACATTAAGGAATAGGACTCATTTAAACAATTGTAATAACTTCTACTTTATGCTTTATTGAGATTCCTTCATTTATTCCAGAGGTGTGCTTAGCCCATGTTCCATCTTCAAAAGTGTAAACTTTCTGGACCAGTGCTTCTCAAACTGTGTGCCTTAATTGGAATTGGCCATATTTTATGTTTTATACAGCGAATATCATATTTATATGTAAAGATGTACCTTGGAGATATTACAGTTTCATTTAACGTGAATTTGAGAGATCCTTTAAATGTGGGTGCTGATGTGGGAAACAAAAAAGAAACGTCACCAATTAAATTACTAACAACAATCAGAGCAAATCTGCGCCTGTGTCAAACACAAAGTCTGTTCATAACCTGATGATCAGCTATCTAACGCAACAGCTTACAACAGAACAATAAAATGGGCTCTAATTGCTACTTGGCAACCTGTTGCCATATTTTGATAATAAAGGTCATGGTCTATATTTAGCAAAGGGAAATATTCTTATAACAATAAACCCACTTTCCTCCAGTGCAATAAACGTGTATAACAGGATCATTTGTTGTTTGTGACCTATTTTTTCTCCTGACTTCTGTTTTGTTTTCCAGCCCTGCAGAAAAGTATTTGCAAAAAAATAAAAGAAGAATGCAGAACTAGATCTATCACATGATTAAATATGTGCAAGAAAACCTAAAATGTACACAGATGTATTTATAGACATTTCTGCTTAAGATCTCTTGTTGTCTTACAAGGAGTCTGACTTGAGAAATGTCCTGCTACGTTCAAATGCTGTAGGTGTGAATGTAAGCAGAAGAAATTAAAATAGAATCAAAGATAAGCTCAGTGACATTTCCGTGACAACGTGTTAGAGAGGATGTTCATTTACAAGAAAGAAAACGAAGATAGCTCTCACAATGTGTGATGATGTTTGAGCAGCATTAAAACACACTGAAGCCTACCTGTCTGAAGTCACAATACAATTAAAACAGAAAACAATATTAAACATTCACTGATAACATGAACAAGTAATTGGTATTTTCGTTATATTTAAGTGCAACAAGCATTTGTATTTAGTTGAAGCGGCAGCTGCTCATCCTGCGAAAATAAAGTTGTCCAGTTACGTAGCATCGAGAGTTTCAGTGACCCACAGGCCTTGTCCACATGTTTTCAGGTCATTTGTAATTTAGCCCTTTATTTGTATGTTTTGGCTTTTTGTCCACATGCAAATGCTTTTGAAAAAATCCTTCCAATGTGAAGATATTCAGGACCTTTGTTTGCAGAGTTGACAGGGACAACTAAGTGATTGTCTTAGGAAAATCAAGTCCCTTTCAGACGTGCACTCCTTTCCATTTATTTTTAAGAATTTGTGTACATATGGACCAAGCATTAATATATCTGTTTCCAGCAGCAGATATTTTTTGAAATATATACTGCATTATAACGTCAGCCTTTCATGCAATTTACTACAGTTTTTATCTTAAATTTTCTCTATCTCAATCTAAACATATTTGCCGAGGCATTAGTTTTGACTAGTCTTTTTGTTTGTGTCTTTTATGAGTCCCACAATTTTGTGAAACTGCAGCACAAACAATACTAATGTGAGTGATGGGGGGGAAAAAAAGTAACTTGATCATCTACAAAATCTGGAGAAGCTGAATAAGACACACAAAATCATGTTCATTGAAAGACTTTTATTTTGTAATGCTTTAGGCTACACACAGGTACAGCGCTAGTGCAGCAGCTTTCGGACTGGAAAGTGTTTTTGTTTTGTTTTTTTCCCCTTGTACATTTAAACTTTAATAGGAACAGTGTTAATGTAAAAATATATATACTTTTACGACATAAAATCCACATAACACTAACAAGTTCTGACGAATGACTAGTTACGCACAATTGTTGTTTTCAAAGGAGAAGTGACAAATGCAAAAAAAAACACAGACCACAATGACCCGGGGCTTTCCCATATCCCTAAAGTTCAAAATGCAGACAGAGCAGAGGCGTACGAATATGTCATGAGTTACCATTTCCCCTTTATATGAAAAATGTGATCAGCCTGTGATCAACCACACGTAGCTCTGCATCTTTTTTTAGTCAAATGGACAAAATGATGTAAACAGACACACAAAAAAAAAAGATGTTTCAGATGTACAGAGTCACTTTCCATAGTGGTATCTAAAGAATCATTAGATGAAACAAATGATGCATAATTTATAGAACAAAAAAACAAAAACATTACAACATTAAACAGATTCCAAAGCCCTAATAACTACAGGCTGGAATCTGTGATGGCTCAGTTAGTGCAAATTATATGGAGACAATCGCCACTCGTGCTTTTTCAGTCATATATGCTCCCTGAATATCTGTGATCACAGGACAGTAATTCCACTCATTCATTCCTGGCTACAGGATGAGCAGTCTAGAAATGAGGGAATCAAATATTTCTTTTCCTGAATTCCTTCTTTTGTTGAACTTCCTACAACTCAGCTGAACATCATGTAATTCAATAAAAGCATATTTTTAGCACGTAATAACGTGTTGTGAGAACTTTGAAACATGATGCGTTCAATGCAGGAACAGTAGTTGGATTAAGGGAGCTGCTATCCAAAGGCCCATGAAATCCAAAGGATCTCAGCTACAAATCTATTCTGGTGCACATTAAACAAAATAACTGCTGTCATAATTGGTCAATGACCAATTATGACAGCAGTCATAAATGGTCATAAATCTTAACCACTTAAAAAAAGAAATATCATGAGCTTCTTTTTACAGCTCACATCAATACATTCAGAGGTTTGCTAGGAGTCTCGGTTTATCTCCTAATCTCAAGTGCAGTTTTCCTGGTTTAATGAAAAAATAAAAATATCTCATGGCCAAGCTACCAAACATAATTGTTCTGTAACTGTAATTGCTACTGTTCGGACAAATTTGCATACAGCAGCTTTACTTTAAGGGGGGGGGGTCCTGCTTTACTACCTAATCTTCAGGCTCTTTTTTTAAATGCATAACAGCATGAGACCAGGGGCTCATCATGCACTTCTAAAGTTGTCTTTCCTTTACGCTTCCACAAACACCTGTGGCAGCGAGCGACCATGCAACATGCTGACTATCTTGTTGTGTTGACACTCCAACATGCACGCCGCCTGCCTATTTTTCCTACTCTCTCAGAACTCTCTCTTCTTCTTGAGTCACTGCGAAGACGCTCTCCTCTGTGGCGGCGGAGGAGTGACTGCCAGCACCACGTCCTGGTTCTCCACCGCTGGCACCGTCTGTGCAGGACCCCGATCCCTGCGCCCACCTTCCTCTAACGCCTTCTGGCTTTCCTTCAAGTCGTCAGTTGAAGTTTTAAGGGTAGAGGCATCATTAAACAATTAAGGGTCGTCCAACGAAACCTGACTTTCCCTGACTCGGCGTCTGCTTGCTTGGTTTTCTGACAATGGATTTAAATTAGAAGGAAATAGGTGAGCTCGTAGCCGGTTCTTCCTCCTTGAAGTTGGATTTAAACATAAACATGCTTCATTGTGGATGTTTTCGGCCCCAAGGTATAGATCAACATCAAGTCCTTCTTTTCAAGCGGTTTGAGCGGCGCGTCCAGTAACGTTACTTTTTTTGGCGTCTTCTTTTTTTCTTTGACGGTGTTCTTCAAACAACCCTGTGGTGGAGATAAAGCAGACACACTTAGATTGGGAACAAACTGACAACACAAAGTCTTTTTGAGTATGTTCAATGATGCGATGATGACAAGTTGCAACTCAAGAAGTAAAACTAAATTGTGATGACTGAGCCTATTTAGATGCAGTTCTCAAAAATGCGCTTCATGTAAATGCTGTGAAGGAAACTTCTCTCTAACAGCAGTGAATGTGCATCAGCATTTTCCATTACTTACATAGCTTAACAGGAAAATGACAAGTGCTACCATCAGCAGCGCTGTGGCGAAAACAACCAAGTAAGTATCCGACATCCCACTTTCTGTGGGAGCAGCAGGACAATCTGAAAATGGAAACAGACGTTAAAGTTAGACAAGTGTGAACCAGCATGAACTGCATCACACAGTGAGCTGCTCTGGTCATTGAACAAATGACACACATTTGGATGCATTCAAGAGAAGGAACCTCTAGTGTGGCTGAATCAGTACTTTGACACATTTTAAAAGCTATCAGTCAAGCTGAGCCACATTTAGCTATGAAAATGCTGTAAAAATTGTAATGCAACACTAATCTGGACAATATTCACTTAAAAAAAAGGTAGAGCAGGTGTAAAGCAAGCAAATGCACGCTGCACAATTCTCGCATGACACTTTGTACAAGCATTTAGGGTCCCCAGAGGATGTATCCCAAGGAGTTCGCTCATCCCCTGATTTTGCCTCTAGTGCTCTCATGAGGTTGATATTTGAGGAGCACGGTGAATTTTTCAAGGAAACTCTAAAGATCACTGTTCTCCCAAACTCCATCCCACAAGTCATGGATCCACATTTTTGTCAAATCAATGCTCTGCTCTGCCTGGAAGTCCCCTGATTAGTTTTTATTTTAATATCAGATACTTCAGGGAGCCTTTGGAAACATATTTGTAGAATCTGAAGCAAACATGATCTGCAAACACAGACACGAACCTGCCACAGCGAGGAGGACCTTCCCCTCTCGGATCTGCTGTCCCACAGGTGCTGCCAGGTGACACAAGTAGACGCCGCTGTCGCCGCACGTCACGTTGGGCAGGTAGATGCTGTTGGACTCGTCCAGAAACGACACCTCTCTCTCCACGCCAGCGTACAAACTGGTCGTACCGTTTGGGAGGTTTCTGGTCAAAAGGCCCCAGAGACTATCAGACGGATCCTCTCTGACCTGCAACACCATCAGAACAGCGTTAGATTTATACAGCAGTTTAATGGATCAGAACCAAACACTTCTTAATATTAGAATCTGACAATAGACAGAAAGTGAACAGATTGAACAAAGGCAGAGACACACACTACTTCATTTTGCTTCTTCTACCATCACATATAACCACAGCATATCTGACTATTTTTACGTTTGCTGATTACCATACCTCACTTCTTTGATTCATTCATTTGAGAGCAAAATTAATTAAGAACTTTGCTTTCTTTCTTAATTACCCTGTTTAAAGCTGGAACAAAAAGTTGTCTATCAATAAATTAATTATGTTCTTGCTCATTTAGTGATACTAAACTGAATATATTTGGGGGTAACACTGTTGGTTTGACAAAAAAAAAGATATTTCAGGAACTGGTTATGAAGTTCTTCAATATTTTCTGCTATTTTCTAAACCAAACACTGAACTGATTGAGAAAACAACAGACATGCTCATTAATTTTTATTATTCCAATGTAAATTTGAATTAACATAACTTTTTGCTTTGTTTCTATTGATTCAAAAAGCAATATATGAGTCAGTTAACTGAAACTTCAATGTAATAAAACAAGCATCAGTGCTGATTTATTTATGATGCTATATTGCCATCACAAGAGCTGCTACACAGATAAATGCATCATGGGAAATGCAATATTGATCAAGGAAGCAATTTAAGCCTGTAATATCATTTAGAAGCAAGAAAATGGATCCACTGAAACAGCACCAACAGAAATCCCCCTGAATGATAGCACAACAACAGATAAAACTGCTCTGGTGATATCTTTATGATGATTTATGGCTTTAGATAAGAAGAGAAAGAGAAAGTAAAAACAGTCCTTCTGCAGTCAGCCAATGAGCAACACGGGTGTGATGCTTCCTGTCTCTGAAGCTGCAACTTGGATGAAAACATTTGTGCAAATGCATAAAAGCACATTTCCTTTACCTGGTACCACCTCGCTGCCCTGTACTGGACACCGGGCTGCTGTTTAGCTGTGCAGGGAAGAATTCCATCGTCCCCTGGGAAAACCACAACTTCCGGCATGTCGCCGATGACAGCTGCGTTCAAAACAGCATTAACGCCTGAGGAAATAAAAATAAAATAAAATAAAACAGGATAAGTTAGATTATATGAAGTTGTGTCCCGTCCACATGAATGGTATTAAAACGCAGTCGGCTTTTGAATTAAACAAAAAATATATGACGTTTGCTAACTGTGGCTCGTGCTGTCGCATGAGCTAATCACGAGGAGGTTAAATGCGAACGCTTTGAGAACGCTTACCGAACAGCAGCGCGAGGCTCAGCAAGACTGGAGTCATGTCGACGTTGTTGAAGTGCGCTTGTGATGCAACTGAAGCCGTCCGTTGACGTGTTTATATCCATCGCACCCACCCTTATAGCGCGCTCGGCTACTGCTAGCCCCGCCTCTGACTGCGAAAGCGGAAGCCTGAAGGTGTCTAAGGAATTGCCCGGTGGCAGAGGGGGACAAATCAAAGTAGCATCATGAGCCTCAAGAGCGTCCCGTGTCTCTTCGTTTTAAGTGAGTATGTTCAGCCGTTTAAAATCACGATTAATCTGCAACTGTTTTAAACAGTGTAAAGTTGGCCAACATGCGACAAACATGCTCGTGCCCGTCATCCGTCACGCCAAACTGCATTATAAAAAATGTTAGCTTGCTCCGGCCGACAGTGACGATGTTAGCACAAGCCATGCCGGATTAAAAGTACAATTGCGAGATGAAAGTCAGTTTTGCATGCGCCGATTTGAAAACCGGTTCTTGTAGGTTTAGAAAGTGGGTTTACTACTGCTTTACACGGTAACGACATGCAAGGTGATAGATGACAGTAAATCGACAGATTTTATTATGGAGATTTGAATGGCTACGTCTCGCGCAATCAGACTGCTAACTGTGAATGAGGTAAAAAAAAAAAAGGTGTATAAGAAAAAGAAACCTCTTTTTAAAGTAGTGGGCAGAAATAGCGGAGTATTGCTTATGTTTTATATAATTCTCTTTAAAAATGTGTTTTTTGAGTACTGGTTTAACCTCAGCTAATGTTAGCATAATGATTTTTTTTTAAGGTAAGTATTACAGTAGCAGATAGTTTTATGTTTTGATGCCTCAGACTAATGCTGACAGTTTAATCACGTGATAAATGTTTTGACGACAGCTCTCACTGAAAGTGAAAGTCGCTGGGATTTCCCTGTGCTTTCCTCGCAGTCCCAGGTAGTTTCCAGTGTGAGAGGGAAGCAGACTGTTTATTAGAAATGGACGTGGGGAATTCCCACAATGTGTCACAAGGGTCATGTTAACACTACTACAAGTGGCTAGCACAAGGCTTTCCACCAAAAAAAAACACACAAACATGAACTAAAACAAGCCTAAAAGTTCTACAGGTGAAGTCTGAAACAACACCTGATGCTTACATGCCATGAAATTTAGGCACAGAGTTTACAATTTGTAATAATTCATCACTGTCAGGAGATGTAAAAGATAAAAGCTGATTTTGGACCTCATGGATTTAAAGTTGATGTTTTTTTTTTCCACAGCTCAGATCTAGGAGTAATAAATGTAGCAGGGACTGGTTGACAGAAGCATTAACATCCTGTTGCATTTCTTCTTCTTCTTCTTCTCCTTCTTCTTCTTCTTCTTCTTCTCATTGACCAGCAGCTGCTGCCTTGTGGTCTGTGAGTAGCAGCTCTAAAGTAAAGACGAGCGATGCCACTTATTTGTGCTGTGGAACCTGGGCGCTACGGTTCAGCCAAAGCTGCGAAAACACTTGGACTATCAACAGCAAGGTACAAATAACCCCCGCAAATTCATACAGAAAGCTCACTGTGTTCCAACACCGAGCAGTGTGATGACTGTGATGACTGTTGTGATTTTTCAGAGAACTCTTAAAGAACACATAGACAGGTAAACGACAACAAGACCACTCCGCCGTTTATTTTTGAAATCATTTTTAATAAAATAGCAAACCTCTGTCTCCTTTTCTTTTAACACAAGGTAAAATGATCTCATAAATAAAATGGCATGGTTTGTATGCTTGAAAATGATAAAACAAAATGTTATTTTTCATTTCAGATGTTGCCCTTCATTGAGCCATTGGCTCTGTGAATGGCAATGTCAGTTGTTTGAAGCACCGCTTTGGTGACAGAGACTAAAATATCTGAACAACTGTTGGATGAATTGCTATGAAAGTTTATACAGACACTCGTGGTCCTCAGAGGTTGAGTGATCCCCATAAGCCTTTCTTCCAGCACTGTCATCTGGTTACGAATCTCCTTTGTCCACTACTTTTTTTTGGTACCCATATGCCTGCACAGCTCATATTCTCATCAGCCTTAGCTGCACTAACGCTAACACACTAAACTACAGTCGTGAACCCGATCCCCATCAGTGTGTTAGTACAGTTACTGTGAGCATGTTGCCTCATTTAGACTGTGTCCACAATCACTCTCTATTTACTCTATATTACTCTATTTATAGTGCGCTCCATTCACCATTTCATGGTGTTTTGCCTTCAGAAATCCCTACAATGTGAAGTGCCCCACATTTTGTGAGGGTGCACATGACACCCTGTTTGTCAGTGATGATGCAAAATAATGATTCCTTGCACTGCGTGTGTCTGAAAATCCAAATGAACCGATCAGTAAACTATTGAGCGTCTGCTGTGTATTTAGAATGACTAAATAAGGGAGTGATTTCTGCATCGCACATTCAGAGCATTACTGTACTACTGCCAGCTACTGTCAATGCTACTAAGCTAAATGCTCTGTATGTCCTCTGCAGCCACATGATGTCCCACAGAGGCTCTCAAGCTTAGGTGTAACTTGTTTTCGGGTAAATTAAATTCCTGTTCATAAAGAGATTTTTGTTTGTGGTTCGTTTATTCTTGCAGACAATCGCCTACGCCTTTGCTGCAGAGAATAGCTGCATACGGCCCTGCATGAAGATTGAAGACGGACTGATGACCCTGGACGAGTGTGTGGATGTGAACGTGACCATAACGTGCCACGATGTAAGTCACCCACCTTTTTGATGTTTGTAGTAACTTGGCCCCTTCTGAGAGGGATTATGTAAAGTGTGATTTTCACTCATCTGTTCACAGGCTGCGAATGTGGGTCATGAGGAAATAATCAACTACCACGGTAAAGCGTGCTCTCGTAATGTGTCAAACAGGATGGCACCTAGAAGTCAGGGTGAGTCCTGGTTTTTATATCAACAGGCTGTGATTTTATGTATTTTTTAATCTCAAAAACACATTTAAAAAATCCATCCATCCATTATC